AGAAATCACACAACACGTCCTTCATTTCCAAGCTCACAATTTCAGGAAATTGGCACAACAATAAATAATAAACAACAACAAAAGACAAATTACCTTTTCATCAGATTTCAGATTTCCTTTTAGTGTGGTGCGTTCCAAGTTTCCTGTTCCTGGCGCTCCCAAGTAGGCTCCCGGTTGAGATTCTAGATGTCTTTGATAGGGGGTGGTTGGCCTCAACATAGTGGCTGGATATCGTCTTGTTCATTTTGTGGTGTACTGTCTCCTTGCACCGGTACATGTTTGACACTAGCATGATTGTTTGTGGAAGGAGTTCCTTGACAGACTAGGACTTGTGCGGCAGCATTATTACTATCACTGGGAGTTTTTTGCTCAGTTTGTCTGCTTCATTGATTTCCAGCGCTACTTGCATCAGAGCGTGGTGTTCCTCAGCATCTTGAGTGCTATCTGTGGCCTTTGCCATTTGAGCATTGTCTGCTTCGTCGCAGAGCCGAGCTCTGACAACTTCAACGTCAAAATTCTTCCCCTGATCTTTGCTGCTGGATTCCTTCATCCTCTTTTTATCTTGGGAGCAATAGGAACAACGACAACACAGGCGAGAGGTAGGCAATGACAAGAAGAGGGTATCAAGATGGAGAGATCGAGGAGACTACTTGCATTGATTGCATGCATGCATGGTCACTCGATCGTAAATTGAACATTTGACTTTCGACTAGTTTGCCGTGAAGCCTGGCCCCGGCTGGCTTCCGTAGATAATTACGGTCCCTATTCTAAAACCCCGTTGATTATGCGGAGTCTGGGTCATTTTTGGTGCGCGAGTGCCGATGCGATGACCCAAGTTTCATTGGTCGAGTCATTACAAGTTTTTCCGTTTTTATTTCCTTGTCTTATAAGGGGGGATTAGAGTAGGGAAATGATCTACGGAAGCCAGCCGGGGCCAGGCTTAAGCAAAGAACAGTCAAAATTCAGGACTAGGTTCTGTGGGATCAGGGGCAAGAAATTGAGGACCAGTACGGGGGCCAAATGGTTTGGCTTTGCGAGATCCACGGAGACTTAAATGGGTAGCTTTCACAAGGGCAATTGAGATACGGGTCTGCATGAAAACATCATTTGAGAGTAGGAAAACTGAGTTTTGGAGGCAGTAGCAGAAGCAAGCCGTTGTAAGAGAATCTTGGCTTGGGGGGCAAGCATGCCATCCACAGAAACAACAAAGGGATGGAAGGAAGTGCGATTGGAGTCGCACGCTTCTTTATATTTGGAAATTTTGTCGCGTTCTTGTTGGGTTAACACTTTGACGGGATCTTTGTTTCGGTAAGAGGCACAGTCCAAATCACTGACATGTACGTCAATAATAGCCGTAGTACCACGTACGAACAAGCCGCAAATGGAAAGATCACCGCGTAAGAGCTCGGGGGCTGGAGGGGATTGAGAGAGGGGGGGGAGGGGAGGTAAGTGGAAATTGGGTGACCGGCAGGGATGTAGGGCGGGTTAAAGATGGAAGGGGGGTTCCGACTGGACGCTAGCTAGATGAACCAAAGCATTCACACGCATAGAACCAAGTTCATTGCAGATGTCATTATGGCGACGGATGATTAAGCCGCCACGTTTGCAATCCAAGGCATGTGGAACGCTGAAGGGACAGTACAGCCATCACAGACTTTCATAGCCAAGATATCATGCTCTTGCTCAGGAGAATCAGGACTAAGGTATGCCATTATCTGGTTGTGTAGCGGTAGACGACGAAAAGGTAGGAAATCAGACTCCTACGTGGAACACTTCCACCTCCAGGGCTTCCAAATCCAAGACCTAGCCCGCAACCTCCAAAGGAACAGCACCGAAGTTAGCATCATGTGGCAAGGCAACCTCATCAGCGCTGTCAAGACCTGCCTGCGGGACACGACACCACAAGCAAGAAAGCAAGAACCGTGTTGATACGATTCCAAAGACAACCGAAAAATCAAAGTCCAAACAAACAACACTGTCTTTTAATGCTTATCTTTCCGCCATGCACGCGCAAGTTCGCTACAAAACTGTGTGTTGAATTGTCAGCAACCCAAAGAGCTATCGCCCCACCAATTATCATATTATCATTTCCACAGCAGGCAGACTAGACTAGACGAGCCCGAGAACAAAACAAACGCATCAACCTTCCTTCTGGTCTTTGCCTCCATGAGAATACTGGATGGTCTGGATCACATGCTTATCGCTCATCGGTTCGTTTGCGGTGCTGGCCAACGATTTGGCCAGACGAATGGCCGTCTTGATTTGTCGACCATTCAAGTCGTAGTCCGCCAAACGATCCAGATCCACAAGACCATCGCTGTGTTTGGTGCCCGCAGCGCCCAGGAGGTTGGACCAAATCTGCTTTCTGGTGGGCGCGTCCAAGGCACCGTACTCGATCGTGACGCTGATGCGGCTTTGGAAGGCTTCATCCATATCCTCGGCGCGATTGCTGGTCAAAAAGAGGATACCATTGTAATACTCGAGGAGCCGAAGGAAGATCCCGACCATAGCATTGCGGAGGACGTCGTCTTTGGTTCGACTGGCCAAAAAGATATCGCACTCGTCAATGAGAACCACAGCATCCCAACGCTCGGCGACTTCCAGAATCTTCTTGAGTCGCTGTTCCAGGGCTTCAGGGGTGACGCCAAGCTCGCCGACATCAATGCAGTAAAGAGGACGATGCAAACACTCCGAGACGGCCTCAGCCGTGAGCGTCTTGCCCACACCTGGAGGTCCCTGCAATAGAAAGCTGCATCCTCCTCCCTTTCCTTGGATGATATCCGTAAACTGTTCGTCCTTGTGAATGTTCTTTACAAAGCCGCGGACCATTTCTTTGGACTCGTTTGCAAGGACCAGCATATCGAAAGCGTCTTCGTTGAACTTGATTTCCTCCAAGTGCTTCAAGGAAAGTTCACCCCACCTCTTGGACTTCAAACTGAAGCCACTCAACGTCGGCCAACACAAGTGTAAGCTGCCTTCGGGGATTTCAGTAGAGAACATCTTTTCGCTGCCACTGCCTCCTCCATGCCCGCACACATCCATCTCATCACCGCAGCCATAACGACGAGCATGACGATCGCCATAGTCCGGATTGAAGTGCAAAAAGGAAGCGGTATCCACCATCACGCGGCCCTCCGCCGAGATTTGTTGGGATCCAAAACAGGTGCGTACAATCATCTTGTCAGTGTACATCATGTAGTGAGCACCGAGTCCACACTTGGCGAACTTTCTCCCACGATCGGCCAGTTTTTCTTTCTCGCCCAAAAGAACAGGGCGGATGCTGAGCTCCGAGAGCTTTGCTTTACCAGGATACTCTCGCACGTACGAGCTCATTGATGATCGGAAAAATACCTTGCCGTTCGATCGGATGGTCATGCACTGGACGACAATGATTTTGTCTCCCATAAAAGTGGTGGTCTCGTAGACGGAATTGATTCTGCCACAAACGGCGCCAGCATCATCGTCCACGATACAGTCGCGCTCGATCTTGAAAACCTTTTCGATCAGTTCATTGAACGAATATTCGTCATCCAAACAGAACTTGCCGTCTTCTTGGTCGGTGTTGGTGCTCGTGTCATTGAAGACGTCGACGTCGGCCGATCGAGAGACTGGATCCTTGCTCATACAACCACCCATCTTTGAAAATCTTTTCCTTTTGGCTTTTGTGCTAAAAGGCTGCGAAATATGTGCTTGAATGATATAGCTGGCTGGTTGGAGAAAGATCCCGTAATGATCCGAGTCGAGCCTAGTCTAGTCGTGAAATTTCAGACGTACATCCGGTCACCTTCATGGTTGTTTCGAGGGCAGATTCTGCTTCGTACATGTATCTTAACCATTGGAAGATTCCGACTGGGCTTTGGCTCCTCTTTTGTTGTAGGCAGGCATCTAGGTACACAGCACTGCGAGCGGGCGGCTGGGAGAGCAAATCGACCAGAGGGTTGTGTGTGTCTTGCCCTCGCTCCATTTGGACCTTTTGATCTGTCGTCTTCTTGCTCTCGACGGTGGAACTACGTTGTCATTTCTCGCTGGCCTTGTTAGCAATAGATCCTCTGTGTCCGTCGTGGACTTTAATCGCATTCCTCGAATGCTGGATCTCTAAAACTTTTAATATCGAATCCTTGAATGCAGGATCTCGGCTGCCATCAGAACTCAGTGCTCATACTCTCTGCATAGCATGAGCACACTTTCGCTCGAGACTTCTATATGCCCCCTGCATGATTTCCGGCTGTCCATCAAAATTTAAAAGCAGCATTAGCAAGTCCCACTTATCAACTCTGGTATGGGTATGATCTGCCAGACGCAACCATCGCACTCCAGCTAGCTGCCGGTTTTGGCAGCTACCTACCATACCGGCACAGATAGTACTGGTATCCTACTAAACTGGCTGGCTTAGTTTAGCGGGCACCTTTCTCAAACAGCTGCCAAGCAAGAAAGGTATTGTATATGGAGTGCATCCATGGCCAGTTTTGAGACCAGCATTGCTGCGTTGATGGGAGGCCTTCCGTCTTCAGAATTATCACAGCTTGACATTGACTTTGTGGATAAAACGGAGATGAGCTGTGGTGATAGTGAGAAGAAGGCCCAAGATGCCTTGGCCCAAGATGCCTTGGCCCATGAGGTTGCCACGTTGTCGCTGGGAGCATCATCCACACCTGTGAAAGAGATTGAGGGTGCTCCGGTAGCGTTAAAAGCGCTGGCCCACTGGATTCTGAACGATTGCAAAAAGATTGTTGTGTTGAGTGGTGCTGGAGTTTCGCCGGCCTGATTTCAGGTCACCTGGGATGGGACTGTAAGCTGACTTCTATGTTGCATGTTGCATTTCAATCACCGGCATGCTTGCCCCCCAAGCCAAGATTCTTTTACAACGCCTTGCTTCTGCTACTGCCTCCAAAACTCAATTTTCCTACTCTCAAATGATGTTCTTCATGCAGACCCGTATCTCAATTGCCCTTGTGAAAACTACCCATTTATGTCTCCGTGGATCTCGCAGAGCCAAACCATTTGGCCCCCGTAATGGTCCTCACTTTCTTGCCCCTGATCCCACAGAACCTAGTCAATGAAACTGGATGCTCTTAGAAGATCTGCTGTGCACAGTTGTTGTCTTTGGCCCATTGGACATTGATCCAATTCCCAGAAGCATAGAACAACGGTCTGCACATGCCTGCCTCTCATGCATCCAAAAACAACAGCCGCGAGGCTTTCTCCCACAATTGGCAACGCCCCTCATCTTTCTCATCCATTGCTGCTGACGATGTGGACCATGCTGTACTAAATCCCATTTGCAATCGTCCGAGGTCACTCAAGTCGTCGGGCGTTGCCTTTTGCGTGGTAAATCCGACTTCAATTCCTCCCTGACAAAAGTCGGGCGGCGTCTTGCCATGTTGTTGAAAATGTTCTCGTTGTCGTTGGAGATAGCGTGCATTCTTGTCGCACAAGGGAGCGGCCCCCATGTAGAGGACATTGCTGTACCCATCCCCTGAATGCTCCGATTCGACGGCGTGCACCACATCTGGATGCCACCAGACGGCATCTCCCGGTTCTACGGTAGGAATCGACACCAATCCGTCCAGCAGTGGAGCATGCCATGTCGGTAAAATGGGCAAACTGGCAGCGCGTCGTGCACCACACAAGTCATCGTCTGGAACGTCGGAGAGGAGCGGGCGCAACATAATGTAGGCAATGGCCTCTGGAAGCATGGGCACGACTTGGAGTGTCCCATCCCCTGGTCCTTGTCGCGTGAGGGCGGTCCAACCCTGCCATGTACGAAAGGCGGTACAGACATTGGGGGCGGGGAACTCTCGAGCTTTCACTCGATGCTCTCCGTCCCAAGGATCGTGCTGTTGTTGTTGGCCTTGACGAACAAACAGGCGTTGGTAGACCTTTTGATAGCCTTGGCGTTCCACCCATCGTTCAATGGACCCGGCGTCCAAATGAGGCGCCAATCCCAACGTGTCATCGCCAGGTTGTCGCATTCGGACACGGTCGCAATACTCGATTTGTTGGGTTGGATCAAAGAACCATTCTGTTTCCTTTTTCTGTTCCGTCGTTTCTGCATCATTTTCTTGCTCGCTGGCATTGTTGTTGTTGTTGTTGTTGTTGTTGTCATGCATGTTGTTGTATCGCCACAATTGATTGAGGTAGTCTCGCGCTACTTTGAGGTTGGGGTGTTGCCGTGCTTGTACTTGAGCTTTGGACCAGTAGACATCGTACATTTGTGGTGGCTTTTGAGCATCGTCGTCGCCATTACCAGTGCTGCTGGAAAAGTACTGCTCGATGTTGTCTTGTCCATTATTTCTGGCAGCTGCTGCCACTTGGATGTAGTCGTTCTTGTGAATGTACTCTTGCAAATCCTGGTTCCACTGTTCCACCTGAGCTTGGTCAAAGACACCTCGTATTACCACCACACCAGCACGGTGGATCTCTTCTCGTAGTAACAACATTTCTGGGTCGTCATGACTAGGATTTTGTTGTAGTTTGGAAATGTGAACTTGTGGAATGGCCGCAGAACCGAGTGATTGAATTTCCTTGGCTCGCACCTGGACTCGCTCTAGCACGTCTTTCCAGACGGTCTCTTCAAAGTCCAATGGCAGATGCGCTTTCAACTCGGCCTTGGTCTCTGCAATCAGCGTCTTGTCATCCACAGCAACAGTGCTGCTGTTGGTAGCAACAGTAGTTTGCTGATCACTCATTTACAATTCATGGACAGGAACTGTCTCACGATCTGTATCGTACGAGTGCCCTATAGTCGCCTCGAGTTTGGACGGTCCACATGCTCATGACGGCTTCGAAACATCTTATCATAGATATCCTCGTGGCTTGTGGATTCCTGAATTACAATAATAAAAAGATACTGGTTCCATCGGCGTACATCGTACTATTCCTTGTACCGTACCGTAGTATACGGTAGCTAGTTGAACTATTTTGATTGGCTGAAAACCTTTGGGACAATACTAGTAGCTAGCTAGTACGATAGGGGCGCAGCCTCAGCAGACGTCAAATAGTCTACTCAAATGTGGCGCCCTTGATCTCTTCCGATAGTCTTCCCCCCTTGCTCCTTCATGCCCCACTCCTTGCCCCCCTCCTCTGTGGTTTTCCTGCTGCTCTGCTCATTGATTGCTCACGTTTGTGCATCGTCTCGTCACCATAGTTCCCTAGTAGCCAAAGTAACCACTCCAAAACCAATGCAATATGAACAGACCATCATAAGGGAGCATCTCGGGCAGCGGGCAGAGGAATGATCGACCTTTTCTGCGCCAATCAATCGACTCAGGTACCGGTACCATCACAGCTAACAGTAGTAGGTAGGAAACAAACACGTCAAGCACAGCCTGTTCGAGCCACTGTAACAACGCTAGCTAGCTAGCTAGAGTGCTTTGGCCGATACTGGGAGATAAAAATGAATGTTCAAATGTACACTATCCATTAAGTTTCAAACAGGAGGATGAGCTTTCACCCTCCTTTAGAAGCCCGAGTTCATGCTATGCACGCAAGCTGCTTGCATTGGCCGTCGAGTTTCCGTCTCTCATCTCCAAACCTTCATCGCAGCTGTAACACCAAGGCCCCCTAGCAACCGATGCCGGATTACTCACTTCAGGACAACCAGAGCGTTGGAAGATCCCCATCCCCATTGTCTGCAACGTCAGGGGATTCGATTGGATTTTGGTGCTCCAACTACACAAGTTCTGATTGAAGCTTGCCGCATTGTAGAACATGCCTCCGACATCCGTCACGCTGCTCAACGACCATGGAGAAACGTCCTGGTTGAAGGCCGAATTGGCAAACATAAGAGAGGTGTCTTCCACGTTGGTCATCTCCCATCTGCCCAGTGGTTGATTGAACGACTGAGCTCCGTCAAACATTCCTGCGAACGAAGTAATGGTGCTGACTGCCCATCTGCCAATAGGCTGGTTGAACCTTTTGGCCCCAGCAAACATCTTTTCAGTGCTTGTGGCACCTTCAACCTCCCACGGGCTAATGTCCTGGTTGAACAACTCAGCTCCTTGGAACATGCCTGCGAATGACTCTACAGCATCAACATGCCAACGTCCCAGCGGCTGATTGTATGCCTTTGCCCCCGAGAACATCTGTGTCATGCTTGTGGCACCTTCAACCTCCCACGAGCTAATGTTCTGGTTGAACAACTCAGCTCCTTGGAACATTCCTGCGAATGACTTTACAGCATCAACATGCCAACGACCCAGCGCCTGATTGAATCTTTTGGCCCCAGCAAACATCTTTTCAGTGCTTGTGGCACCTTCAACCTCCCACGAACTAATGTCCTGATTGAACATCTCAGCTCCTTGGAACATGCCTGCGAATGACTTTACTGCATCAACATGCCAGCGACCCAGTGGCTGATTGTAAGATTTTGCCCCCGAGAACATATCAAACATATCGGTGGCACCTTCAACCTCCCAAGAGCTAATGTTCTGGTTGAACTTTTCAGCACCACTGAACATCCCTGCGAAAGATGTAACAGTGCTGACATGCCAGCGTCCGATGGGTTGGGAGAAGGACTTTGCCCCGGCGAACATCTCTGACATGTCTGTGGAGCCAATGACCTCCCATCTTTCAATGTTTTTGTCAAATTGCTCGGCTCCTTTGAACAGTTGGCCGAATGATTTTACAGCATCAACATGCCAGCGGCCCAGTGGCTGATTAAACTGTTTGGCTCCTGAGAACATGGCAAACATGGATGTGACTTTTTCCACTTTCCAGGAACTGATATCTTGATTGAAGGCATAGAGGTTCTGGAACAACCTAGACATGTCCGTGATGCGACTTACGTCCCTATATTTGGTGAAAGGAAGGGTTGGTGGAGGTTGCACGTGCGTATGTACACGGACAACTGGCTATTGACTTACCACAACCCCATGGGGTATCCATACTTGGCGAAAACATCTGCCGAGGGATCGTACCCAGCCTCGTCCGCGTCCTGAACGGCTTGGCGTAACTCTACCTCGTCTTCGAAAGAGTCCTGAGGCTGAATTACAGTTGGTGCAAACGTAGGAAGGGGGGTGCTGCTGTTCATTGTTTCGACCGCGTTGATAGGATCCGATTGGTTGCCACCAGAAGGGTTCAAGTTGTTGCTACCCGAAGGAGCCACGGTTTCAAGTGGAGTTGTTGTCGTCGTGACTGTGTCGGCGGGAAACTCGTATAGGCACTCGCAAACAGCATCATTACAAGTGTTGCCGTCATTTGTGACGAGGAATGTCACCAAAAAGGCAATCAACAGCAGCAACACTACAGTCGTCGCGGCGAGATTTATCACCACCAAGAGGCGCAATTTCTGGATCTCATCCTTTTGGTTTGGTGCAACGGTTTCGAACTCAGAATTGTTTGTCTGTGACTGATCATCTCGAGCCAGGTTGTCGAAAGCAGGATCTTTTATGGATCCCCTGGTGGACGACACCCGATTGGATCCGGCCAGAGAAGGACTCACAGCGGAAGGTAAGGACGAGATATCACTGTTTGGACGCTGCATTGTTCCACCCTGGTGGTCGCTGCTATTGATAAGCTTGCCGCTGCTCTCAGACTCGAAATTCATAGCAGCTCTTGCATACTCGGAACCGGACAATGGCACTACCAGGTTGTCTCCTCTTGGCAGCATTGGTGAAGCGTCTTGGTTGGCCTCGTGCACTCGGAACGACTGATGACCTGGTCATTGCTCGTTCAATTTGGGGGGCTCATTTTTTGGGTTTCTATGTACGTAGGGCCACTCTCTAAATCTTTGCAGCGAGCTGAGACATGGATACTTCTGGTCGCGGTTCAGGTATGATCCATTCAAGGCAAGTGTCTCGGAGCAGCTCTAGTATCAAGGTTACAAAGAATTCGGTATCATACTTACATGTACCGTAGTGGAAGCAGTAGAATGTCAGCCAGCTGCAGCACTCGCTCATGTTGGACTGCGTACTCCAAGTAGTGGTTTACTAGTTGATCTAGCTATGCATAGCTAAGCTAGTCATCTCTGCATGCTTTGATCCCAGCATAGCAAGTTAGCTTGACTAACTGTACGTTCCCAAAGAGTGGTCCTTCTCTTTTCCCCTGGTCCTTCTGGCTGCACTACATGTACACAGTGTACCCAGTTTCTTTCGTCCCGTTCACTTACCTCTTCTGGTCCCTGAACTCAATCAATCAATAATCTCTGTCAAACTTGCTTGAAAAGATTTTCCTGGTTTCTCCAGTTGCACATGGGGAGAGGAGCAAGAGCTTGAGTGGCTGCCTCCCTGCTGCAAGTATGTTGGGTTTTGCTAAAGACATGATGCTTGTTGGTTGACCCCATCCCACCCAATATTCTGGTAGGTTACTGATGACTAGCTAGCCAGTGCACCCATCTAAACACTTTCAAATACCGGTACATGTAAGGTGTTGTTTTTTCCGTCGGTTGCAGTATGGTACTGTAGGCAGTTGATCGACCCACCACGGCTCTGAAATTCACAGCGCATCGAAGAGCTCATCTATCGTGGTCCTCGAGTGACCGTCGACTCGACTCGACTCGACTCGACTCGACTCGACTCGACTCGACTCGACTCGACTCGACTCGACTCGACTCGACTCGACTCGACTCGACTCGACTCGACTCGACTCGACTCGACTCCCGCGATCTTTTCTTTACAGCACTTAAAACCCTAATTCTGGATCTTCCCCTGTCTCAACACAACAACACAGCGAAAGAAGACACAGGTCACAGCTCTTGCAACAAGTCCAAGAGAGAAAGAGACGTAGCTGCAGTCTTTCTATTTGTTGTTTTGTGTTGTGCGTGCCAGTACTTACTTACTAGTATGTTTGCCGAGGAGTTGTCTAGCAACGCCAGCCGCAAGCGTCAACAAGAGAATCGAGCTCGTCGTCGCCAATTGAAGAATGAGAAGCAAAAGCAAGATGCCAAGGCAACGGCAGCCACTGCTGCTACTGCTGCTGTAGTAGCAACTGCCACCCCCACACCAGCGACGATTAGCACTCCCGTTGTCACTTCGACACCCACTCCACCACCCATAGTAGCCGATGCGAGTGAAACGTCTGGCAAATCAGCCGCCGTGGCGAACGCTTTGCAACAACGGCAACTGCGTCAAACGACCCAATTGCAACTCAAGTCGAGCATCAAGATCCAATCTCTAGTGCGAGCGTATCAATCCAATTTCAAGCTACTCCAACAACACACTACACTACTGAAAAAGCGACTGAGCGATTTGAGCAAATTAGCCACTCTTATTAAAAAGAAGAATCCTGACAAACCCTTTGTGCCACCCGTCGCCACCACCACGGCTTTTACGCAGCAATTGCTCTTTTTGACCAAATCCATTCCCTATCAACGACGCAACAGCACTACTAGTACTACTACGAGTACTAATACCAAAGACGACAATAAGAACAGCAAACCAACACAACCCTACGCGCAACGAGTCCAACTGCGAGGATTGGAATCCTCCTCTCAACTATTCAAGCAAGTGTTGGAGACGTGTGTTTTGCCCGGCTTGACCAATCCAGATGACACGGCCAATCCAGTCGTTCAATGGCTTCAACAGGGCACCTATCGACTCTCGCGACTGGTCCATGTCGCCATGACCATTGCCACGACACCTCATGCGCCCATTGCCTGTGTCACGACCATTGGAACCTTTTTACGAATTCTCGTATTGGGAAAACACAGTAACAACCATACACGCAACGCTAATTCATCATTGACGTCGCAAACAGCCCATGCCACCATTGTTCCACTCTGTCGGACGTGGTTTTTGGACGCCAACCATTCGGATCTCTACTTGTTTCCCGTCGTACGACACTTTTTATTGTGGCAGATGGGTTCTCAACAACAGCCCATTCCCAACAATTCCATGGCACTTCGGGAAGATTGTTTCAGTGCCAAAGAACGACAACAAGCCGATGTACTCTTTCAATTACTGACAACACTCGTCACGTCTTCGGGCAAATCCACTCCCCTTCAAGCACGGTTTGTCACGGAAATTCTCACCATTCCACTCCTCACATGGAAACTGTCGCCCAAGTCCGTGGCACAATTGGTGGATACTTCCAATTCCAACAACAACAACAACAACAACAACAATAGTATTCTACTCGTTTCCATGATGAATGCCTTTTTGGAACTCTACCAAGATCCACTCGGCGATGGAAAAATTGCCATGATTCTTCCACAAGTACAAGAAGGAATCATGACCAACAAATGTCCCGCCACCAATACACAGTGTCTACTGGCCAATTGTACCACGCTGGGCCGATTGTGTCCTTCCACTCAGTCATTGACGGCCACCTTTTTTTATTTGGTGGCGTTTTTACTCGATGTCGTTCCATTGGGGACCTTTCTGACACGAGATTCCGCCGCCGTCGAATGGGTCACGGATGGAAAAGGACATCATACACCCATTGTGTTATCGCCCGTCATTTTGGAACAGTGTAAATTGTTGCTGGTCGAATCGTATGTCCGCAATTTATTTGCATCGGCTATCGACACAAATGCACTGCATACCACGGCCGTACTGGAGGCGCAAACCGACAAGGATAAAAAACACGAAACGGACTTTGTCAGTACGGCAGGCGCAACCGCGACAGCCATGGCGGCCAAGGAAGCGCGGGTCGATCGCAATCGATGGTTGGCATCTGCCAAATGGGCCAGTAAAATCAAAAAGGGAGTCTCCAATATGCTAACATCCTCTACCGAACGGCGTGCATCCTCCACCACAACTGCACCTGCAGGTGCCGGAAAATTGGTGGAAACATCGTCCGTTTCGCGACAATTGGCCAGTGGGAATCATACTAATGTCGCAAAAGCCGTGGCAGCGGCATCCAACGAATCATCTACCGATAAACGTCCCTACAGTCCCCAGTTGCTCTTTTGTCTCTGTCGGACGTACGCCATTGTCTTGGCACGATGGGGTGGCGGCGGCAAGGCCGATGTTATTGCGACACAACAACAACAACAATCCACAACCGAACACAAGAATGAAATTGCCACGTCCAGACCCGATCCCTGTACCATGGCATTGCTCAATGTCTTGTGTTTTGGAACGGATCTGGTGAGGACCACCTGGGCGTTGTTGCAGAGTGACAAGGAATTGAATGCCGAACTTCAGGCGACCATGGACAAGACGGCCATTCAATCCTTGACGGCACGACCTTGTTTTGCAACGTACCCACCTCGCACCAAACTGAGTCACGACAGTGCCGTCTTGTTATATGTCTTTGTCGCGACCATTTCTCATGCACTCATTATTACCGATGATGTAGAAATCCACGAAATGGGCCGTCCTTTGCCGCTCCATCAACTGCGACGGTGCATTCAACTCTTGAAAAAAGTCTTGATTCGAGCTTGTGAGGGTAGTAGTAGTAAACAACGACATGCGAGCAGCAATCCCTTTGGACTCTCCTTGGTGGCGGCATCGGTCAAGGTCATGCGGGATTTGTACGATCGATCGGCACGGCGGCCCCTCTGTGTGCCCAAATTGTGGCTTGTGGACAATCTCATGGTCAAGGAAATTTCCAACTGCAAGACGCACACGGATTATGTCGATCTCTTGCACTCGAGTCCCGTCTTGAGGATTTGTCCCTTTTTGGTATCCTTCAAACGACGGCTCAAACTATTTGAACGGATTGTGACGACGAGTCGCATTGAGATGCAGGGAGTCAACGATGCCAATCCATTCAACAACAATCCACTCAAACCGGGTATTCCTGTGCAAATCATGAGGGGAAGAGTGTTGGAGGATGGGCTGGCCACATTGAACAAATTGGGACGCAATCTGCGGCAACGAATCAATGTGCAGTACTTGAACGAAGCAGGGGCGCGAGAGAGTGGTGTCGATGCTGGCGGATTGTTCAAGGAGTTTTGGACGGATTTGTGTGCCATTGCCTTCAATCCCAACTATGCTCTGTTTCGTGTGACAGAAGGTGAGTCATGTTGTTGCTTGTTCTTGGTGTGTACTAGGTTGCTGCCCTGCATTGTTTCTCAACCACAAGTGCATTTCCATTCGATTGTAAAGACGAGCAAAACTGCTTGTACCCCAATCCGTTGTCTGGTTCCGCGCATGGTGCGGAAACCCACATTGTTCTCTTTGAGTTTCTGGGCCGCATTCTTGGCAAGGCTCTCTACGAAGGCATTACAATCAGCCCACAGTTCTCCCACTTTTTCCTTTCGTTTCTTCGGGGCGACTACAACTATCTGCACATGCTACCCGATTTGGGCTCTGTGGATAAGCAGTTGTACACTAATCTCATGTTCTTGAAGACATACGACGGCGACGCCGAGGATCTTTGCTTGACATTCTCGGTTGCCGTGGATGAGTTTGGTGGAAACAAGCAGATTCCTCTCATACCCAATGGTGGCAACAAGGAAGTCACGAATTCCAACAAACAGCACTACATTGGTAAGCCCGGACTGAACATGAATGAGCACATTCTTTGTGCTACGATTTGTGATACTCAAACACGGTCTCTGACTCCTTGCTTTTCTTCACACAGGCTTGGTGGCCAAGTATTATGTGGTGGACAGAGTTAAGGAGCAATCAGAAGCCTTCACTCGGGGTCTGTGGGATGTCATTGACAAGTCATGGCTGCGGCTCTTTAACGAGCCAGAACTGCAGGTTTTGATCAGTGGCGCTACAGGGGGTGCCCTCGATGTTGAGGATATGCGGGCCCACTCACGTTACATTGGTGGCTACACGGGCATTGAAACGACCATTCGTCGTTTCTGGAGCGTCGTGGCATCGTTGAACACGAAGCAACAAGCAGACTTGTTGCGTTTTGTAACCAGCTGCGAACGTCCTCCTCCGCTTGGCTTTGCCAGCATGAACCCTCCTTTTACCATCCAACGCGTGGGGATCATGCGAGATGGCGACCTCTTGCCAACAGCCTCCACTTGTTTCAATACCTTGAAGCTCCCAACCTACAGCAGTGAAAAGGTCATGAAGCAGCGGCTGATATATGCCATTGAGGCTGGGGCAGGATTTGAGCTAACTTAACCTTTCTAAATAGTAGCCGTTACTGTTATCCTGTTGCGTTTAGTGTGTGATCCTCCAATAGCGATCACTTTTGTCAAGTACATGTAATTTTGATACATCGCGGTGACACGTTTTTGCTGTCCGCCACCTCTACGAGCTCCTCTTGACGGAACAAGGCACGGCAGACACAAGAGCTGCATGTCTGATCCGGTTCGTTTATCTGTTGCACGCACACTTGGTGCAACCGCAAAGACTGTCGGAGCAATCAAACCACAGCGAAGCCAAGGTGCAGAGTTCCGCGGGGATTTCTCCGGCAAGGCCGGGATTGTTGGTAATGTTGAAGACAATCAATGAGTTGTTGCTCGAGACCAAGGATCCCAGATTGGCAGGAAGTTCTCCGGTCAATTCATTGTCTTGGAGCCACATTTCGGACAAGTTGGGGTAGCTGGCAATCTCTTCGGGGATGGGACCGGTGTGGGCGTTTCCACTCACAATGAACCAGTGCAGGTTCTCCATGAGACCCAACTCGGAGGGAATGCGAGAGCTCAGTAGGTTGTTTCTCAAATTGAATTTGTGCATGTTGGTCATGGCACCCAGCTCTGTTGGGATTGGCCCCGTCAATGCGTTTTGTCTCGCAAAGAATTCTTCCATGGATGTCAGCATGCCCAGTTCCGTAGGAATGCCACCTGTCGGAGTTGGAGAGAATGGAACATGAGGAATGACACCTGCATGCATGGTGGAATCTCTTCATTGTCCCTCTCTTGGACGAACGAACAAACAAACAAACTTACCAGTGAACGAATTGAGATGCAGATACAGCCACACGAGAGAAGTCAGTTTCCCCAAGAGGGTAGGGATGGTAGCATCCAACTGATTTGTATTGAGCAAGAGAATCTGAAGCTTGGACAGCATGGCCAACTCGGTGGGGACAGTTCCGGTGAACTATACATATGATGTGATCCAACAATGGATTCAGCTGTGAGCATCACACTGCGAAAGGTTGCACTCTTTTGGTCCTGTTCCAAATAAAATGACTGACTCGACAACTCACCTGATTCTCATTGAGATACATCCATTCCATGTCGGACATTAGACCCAACTCGGTAGGAATGGTGTTTCCCAGGTTGTTGTCACTCAACATTAATCGTTTGAGATTGGACATGGTCCCAAACTCGGAGGGAATCGTTCCTTCTAGCCAATTGGTAATGGCTCCCAATTCCACCAAATTTTGTAGATTGGCCAGTTCGGTGGGCATGGCTGTCAATCCGTTGTTTCCGACGAGAAGCGACGTCAAGGCTGTCAAGCGACCAAACTCGGATGGGATGGGACCTTCAGAACAGAACAAGGAATAGATGGTGAGGAAATATATGATTTGCACTTTTTCGCAGCAACTTTGTTCATTCACTCAATGCACATACCAGTCAATTGATTATCAGTAAATTCGAGATTGGTCAATTGAACGAGATTCCCCAATTGAACGGGGACGCTGGACGCAAGAGCATTCTTGTCGAGCTGCAGACTCTGCAATCCAACCAACTGTCCAAATTCACTGGGAATGGCGCCAGTGAATCCACACCCATTCAAATGCAATGTTCGAAGGGATGCTCCAATATTGCCCAGTTCAGGATGCAAGGGCAACTGCATGGGATTGGTATCGGCAATCAATTCTTGCAACTGCGTGAGGAGCCCGAGTTCCGTCGGAAGTCCCGCCAACCAATTGTCATTGAGATGCAACATGCGAAGATTGGTCAATGCCATTCCAAAACCGGCACCGACTGGACCAACAAATTTGTTGTGACTCAAATACAATTCTTGTAGATTCACCAATTGCGCCAGAGTCGCATCGGGAAAGGGAGCCATGAATTGATTGGAAGACAATCCCAGTACTTGAAGATTGGACGATAAGAGTCCCAATTCGGACGGAATTTCTCCCATGATGGAATTAAGTCCCAATTGGAGTGTCTGCAAGTTGGTCAACAAGCCAATGACATCCGCCGGTAGTTCTCCACGAATGGCATTGGCGGCCAAATCGAGTGTGGTGAGTTTGGGCATGTCGCCCAATTGGGAAGGGATCAAATCTTGAATAACGGCGGTAATGTTTCCATTGCGAATGTCAATGGTTTCCAACGATGTCAAGAGGGAAATCTCGGGTGGCATGACGGCATTGGGGCCGCCACGAACATCCAAATGACTCAGAGAAAGGTGTTGGAATTCTCCCGCATCATTGCACGTGGGGAGTTGTGCCGTAGCGGCAGCCGTAGTGGTGCCAGCCGCCAGAACACTGTCTTGTCCTAGATTGTGAGTTCCGGCTCCTCCTACACTAAAGGAATCTAGAAATGCCGGAGTGATCCATTGACATTCATTGGTGGTATCGTCCAACCAGGCATTTTGCACGGCGCGACCCCATCCATTTCCTCCAAACGAATAGTAGAATGTGGAAAGTGCCAAGAGTTGATTGCGGCGCCAATCGGGCATGGTGGTAAAGTCGCGGTGAAACGTCACCCACGTAAAAGCACGACTTTGAGGCGACGTGTCATCTTCCAGACTGGTTTGCGTAAAGGACGGTAGTGTTGCCTTGTAGGCCGTCACCAAGGCACCCGTGTCGGGAGACAGAGTACCAGTGGGAGTCGAAGGAGCCACGGTAGTAAACGTATCGGCAGGACTGGCCGTAATCTCGTCCACCGTAATAGTACTACTATCATCGAGAGTAGTAGTACTACTGCTCTGTACCGACGACTCGTCGTCCTTGGATTTGCGAGTCCCGACCACCGCACCCACAATGGCGCCAATCAAGGCCATCAGCACCAACGCCAACACGGCCAACTTGGCAGTTGAGCAACCAGACGCTTTTTCATGATTCTTATTGGTAGTGTCGTCAATCACTCCCTCGTCGCCCGCTCGTTCTTCATCTTCTGTAGTAGTCATGGTGCTTGTAATGATTGAATTCTAACACGGAATGACAATAAGGATCTTGTGCGTGAGTTGCAATTCCAAAAATTGGAGAAATGATCTTGCGTGAAGCTCTCACAATTGTGTCGACTATTACAAGCTCATGTGGCATGTGCACACATGCATGCATCATCATTGGTTGGAGTTGCGCCCTCCAATGAGACGGTCAACTCCGCCCTGCGACATGAGAATTCAAAAATGACAGCTCTGTTGGTTTGTAATCTCTGGCAGACAAGAGGAGCCAGGGTCACGTCTGGCTTTACAAGAAGCTCTGCTGGTTTGTAAATTGCAAAAAGACAATGCAACGGCTGGATCTTTGTTCCGTCACAATCTCAAGCTCCCCAAAGATGACAGTACGGCAGTAGATTTTGATGGGCCCATTGCATGAACATTGAACACAATTGACCAAGACATTGTGCAAAGGAACAGTTCCCAACCGATCGATACATTACTGTAGGCTATAGCTTGACAAGATGAAACCACCACTTTTGTTTCGTGTAAGAACCGTGACAGCCTTTTTGTCCCTCCAGCCACAAGATTTTCCAGTCTCTTTGCCATCGCAATCACAACAACAGCAACAACGGCAAGATGACAATAATCTACAGTCTTCCTCCAAAGCCGCCGAAAAGATCTCCCAGGCATCGGCACTATTGGAGACGCTGCAAACCGAACTGACACAAGCTGGATACGAAGTGCAAACGGTTCGAATAGCAACCAATCCGTTTGGCGAATGGTTGTCGCATGACGACATGGAAACCGCCAAGGCACGCCTCTGCTGTTTGAATCAATTGTTGGATATCAATGGCATTGCTTTTTGTGCCGTGGGACCGGCTCAAAGCATTGCCGAAATTGAATCCTTGTGCGCCGTCATTGTCGAGACGAGTCCTTACGTGTCGTGTTCGGCCACGGTAGCCGCGGGAGATGTAGTGGCGGCTCGTGCTGCCGCCCACTGCATGCGACACATTGCCGGAATGGCCAATGGATTGGGCAATTTTCGATTCTGTGCGGCGGCAGCCACTTGTCCACCGGGCATTCCCTTTTTCCCCGTGGCCAAGGCGGCATCTTGCAATGACACTGATGGCGATGGTAGTATACAGCTTGGATTTGCCATTGGTTTGGAAAATGGCCCACTGGCCCATCACTGGTTGTCCCAGGCTGGGTCGATTGCCAACATTCCAACGGTGTTCAAAGAGGGCATGGCATCGGCATTGTCACCTCTGCAAGGTAAGTACTCGAGTACTAGTAGTATTGTACCAGACCTATAGTGGGCCATGGCAGGCAGGTTGGATTGAATTTCTAATCCGTTACTATTTGCTTTACATCAATCCATCCATCAATCAATCCATCAATCAATCACTCTCCAGACCTCTGTCTCCAAGTGGCCGACATTAACGAGTATTCCTATCTCGGCATGGATACCAGCTTGAATCCATCGCTCGACGCCGACAATGGTTCGGTGGCGGCCGCCATCGAATGTCTGTCCGAATTGGACCAATTCGGTGGTCCCGGTACCATTGCCGCGGCCGCCGCCATTACGACGGCCCTCCAATCCCTGCCCGACATTCAACTTGTTGGCTATTGCGGTCTCATGTTGCCCGTCTGCGAAGATCATCGCTTGGCCGCATTGGCTACTTCTAATGACATCCAAATTGCCGATCTGTTATCGATTAGCAGTGTTTGCGGTGTAGGCATTGATACGGTT